AACTAAAGTGCTCTGGGACTTTAGAATTCAAACAGACAAGCACCTGCCACATAACACCCCATACTTAATACCTGTTGATAAGAAAGACAAAAAAGTCTGGATAGTGGACATTGCAATTCCTGGAGACAGCAGAAGAGAAGAGAAAGAACTGGAGAAAATCACAAAATATAAAGACTTGCAAATAGAAGTTGAATGACTGTGGCAAAAGAAAGCAAAGATAGTACCAACAGTAATAGGCGCCTTGTGCAATCCCAAAACATCTGGAGCACCACGTGAACACCGTCGGCATTGACAAAATCACCATCAGTCAATTGCAAAAGGCAGCCTTACTTGGAACAGCTTATATCCTGTGATGATACCTTTAACACCATCAGACAACAACATCTGCCTATCCCAGGTCCTTGGGAAGGACTCGATAGGTAGACAATACTGCCAAATCCAGTCTAAACGTCTGGCTGACTGTGGGACTAACCGTAATAATGGTTAGGACTTGAATTATTCAGTTTCCACCAGTCTTTGACTGTGAATCTAATTGTAGAATACCAACAATAATAATAATAATTCAGACCATGAGAGCAGAGAAGTTGAATGCTGTCATTACTCACAGTAAAATAAAAGCATTTTTTTTTTGGCGTCAGCAAGAACAGGTCATGAACAATAATTGTCCTATAGCATGTTGTTGTGCAGGCTACAGAGTCATCTGCATGCTTTCTTAAAAATATGTCCCACTGGGTTCATAGACGCCTCTTGTCAGATAAAAACATGTACAGAGGTTCAACCTCAACTGATCAAAATTACAGTCAATCCTCATTATTCATGGGTTCCATATTTGTGAATTCGCCGACTCACTAAAATTTATTTGTAACTCCAAAATCAATATTCGTGACGCTTTTGCAGTTATTTGCGGTAATGCAGTGAAAGTTTTGAATCACTGCTCTGCACATGTCTGCCTTCTCTCAGTGATCTCACTGGTTTAAATGGCCATCAGAAGTAAGATTGTTTAATAAAACCTTAAATGCTTACATTTTGTTTATCTTTTTTTCCAGGACTTTATTGGTATGAAATATATACTGTATATCTTAAATAAGGTGTCTTTTAACAGAAACACACCTAAAACAAGGTTATGTATTGATTGGTTGATGAAGATGTTGTGACCAGAGGCTTTCAGGAACCTAATCCTATATCTCCCTAGGAACAACAGTTCAGTATTCACTAATTCAGTGTTGGTGGCGATTTGATAGAACATAATTACTGTGAATAATGAGAATTTACTGTAATCCAGGACCAAAGCTAACTACTGCCTCTTCGATGGCTGGTGTGGGTCTTCCGGGCTGTGTGGCCATGTTCTGGAAGTTTTGTTTCCTAATGTTTCGCCAGCACCTGTGA